CTCATCATGTCTGCCAAGCACGTGGTCAATTGGCTTGAGACAGTCCAGATCTTTGTACCCAAAGATCAGGGCAAGAGGTAGAGCTGGGAAGTTGAGAGTGGGACTCATAAAGGTGGTAGCCAGACACGTCCTCTATCCCCACTGCTCAGGAGCTGACCACACGTGTCCTCTAGCCCTACTCAGGAGGCTGACCACACGTGTCCTCTATCCCTGCTGCTCAGGAGCTGGCCACACGTGTCCTCTAACCCTACTCAGGAGGTTGAAGGAATAAGTGTCCTATGTTTGGAGCATCCTGGGCTACTTAGTAAGACTTCATATCAAGAAACCAAACGAACAAAAGTATAATGGCTGCAGAGGTGTGTATGTGGTGTGTGTGTGTTGCATGTATATGTTCATGTGAGTGCATGTACAAGTGCATGCCTGAGCTAAGTGTGGGTATCAGATGTTTTCCTCAGTTGTTTTCAGATTTTTTTCTTTTTGTTTTTGGTTTGTTTGTTTCTTTTCTTAGAAGATGGACTGGCTGTCTGTTAAGTTCTGGGTATCTTCCTATTGTCCTCCCCACTCCCAGCGCTGGGGTTACCAGTACAGGCGACTACATCCAAATTTTGTGTGAATGCTGGGGATCTGAACTCAGGACCTCAATCTTTTGTGGTGAACACTTTGCACACTGAGCCATCTCCCCAATCTTGAGGAGGGTTTGTTTGAGGTATCTCGGTGTTCCACAGAGCAGTCAACAAAACGGAAATGAAAGGCAGCCTGCATGGTGGTACCTATGGGTGGTCTCGGTTACTGAGGAGGCTGAGACAGGAGTATCGCTTGAGCTCCGGAGTCTGAAGTCAGCATAGGCAACGTAGTGACAGTCAGACTCAAAGAAAAAAATCCAGTGCTAAAGACATATGAGAGAGGAGGTGTTGCTAAAAGGGGTTTCCCACGTGCACGATGCTAAGTCCACAGGTGAACTGTTCACAGGTGGAAACAAGGGCGCCCTGGGATGTGCCACCAGCTGTGAGGTCCAAAGACACGTATGGTTGTCACGTGACTGTTTTTTTTCTTCTTGTCTGAGAAATTTTAAGCCGGGTCCAAGCCAATGGAACCAGACCTGACTACTCTTGACTGACTTTCCCAGGTTTCACTTTATTGACTAAAAGTATGCAATCCTACTTTCCTTGGCTTCCCCTCTGTTGAACTTTGTGGAACACAATGCCGAGCTGCTGTTTAACTTGGCTTTGAGCATCCCGGCTCTTGCTGGAGCAACTGGACCACTTGGCTCGGAGTCCAAGGAGCTCCAGCCTGCTGGCTTTAGCACTGCCCCCCACCCCACCCCCTGCAAGCTGGGTCCTGCCCAGTCTGGTTTGTAAATAGTTCTTGGCACATACCCTAGAGGAGAACACAGCCACTAACAATAGCAACTCTCTTTTTAGCTTGAATCTCATAGTACTCAGGATTGCGAGCTTGTAAAAACCAAAAATAACCGAAGCCGTTGCACTGGGTTACCCTAACAGGCAAGTCCGGCTATTGCCAGCATTGCATGTTATTCCGGCAGATATTCAGCCCCTGCTGGTGGGAAGAGGACCAGGTCGAAAGCCAGTCAGACCTAGATTTGAGACCTCGCTAGGCTGTTTAATTTTATGACATCAGGCCAGGCACTAATTTGAGCCTGCTGGGAATCGAAAGAGTGCACATATAAATAAGTGCTAAGGAGCCTACAAAGCACACCATGTAGTTAAGCTCTCCATGTCAGGAAACGAAGACAGTAGTAAAGCCTTGGGAAATTACTTTACATTGAATAGGTCTGAAGGGAGATGGGGGCTGCTCTCCACTCACACGTCGACACACGTGTGGTCTCGGAAAACAACTAGAACTATAGTCTATTTCAGTCTAGAGACTGTCTTTCCTTTCGTCCATGGTGAAGTTAGAGATGAAGACCAGGCAGAACGTTTTACATCAAGAAATAGCAGAGCAGGTGAACTAGCCCTCCTAGCTGTGGAGAACAGGGAAGACTGTCATTGTCCATGCATCGGGTAGACTACCATTGTCTTTCCATGGAGGTAAGTTTGCCACCTAGAATCTTTATTTTATTCTTTTAAGTCCTGCTGCCACTTCCTCCTCTTCTTGTATAGCCCAGGCTGGCCTCTAACTTGCCAGGAAGCCAAAGGTAAACTTAAAACACTTGATCCTCAGGCCTCTACCTCCTTCATGATGGGATTTGCAAGTGTGTGTCACCATGCCTGAGGCAAAGTTGCTCTACCTGCTTCTATGTATTGGTGCTGTCTATCCATCTCCAGGCCCTGGCACCCTCTGCTGTCTCCATGATGGCCCAACACTGCCCTTCCACATGGTCTTAGTCACAATGTTTAGGGTTTCTCTGTAGCTTTGGAGCCTGTCCTGGAACTAGGTCTTGTAGACAAGGCTGACCTCGAACTCACAGAGATCCACCTGCCTCTGCCACCTGAGTGCTGGGATTAAAGGCGTGCCCAGCTCTTAGTCACAATGTTAACCTCTCTCTCTCTCTCTCTCTCTCTCTCTCTCTCTCTCTCTCTCTCTCTTTAAATCTAGCAGGTCCTCACACTTGCTAGCAAGAATGCATTTGTAGCTACTTCACAAAGAGCCCAATGTGTTGTGTCTTACTTTCAGAAATGAAACCAGTTGTGGGGCAGCTTCTTCACATCACTGTGGCATGTCCTAAAAACCTTTATGGTGAGACTCTGATTGAACTTTATCAATGGAGGCATTAGGCCTATTGCCTTCTGAGCTACACCAGCCTTTTTCAGCCCCCCCCCCCCCCCCATTTGTAATGATCTCACGACTGACTAACAACGGGCAGGAAGGTTACCTTCAGATTGTCATCTTCATCTCTTTACCTTGACCTTCATTTAGGCTTGGTGAAGGAGTCCTCTTTAATTGAGAATTCTGGGTTGTAAGCCTACCCCTTCTTCCTAACTTTCCATCTGGGTTTTAGCACTGCCCTGGGGCACTCCCTAACTATGTTGTTTTGGATCTGCAGAGTCGATCTAAGAGAGCTCCCTACTGGGCATTTTGTTGTTTCCACAATGGCTTGCGAGTAGTCTCATTCTGCCTTCTGGAGGCATCTGGAAGTTTTGGCCAACTCACTGGAAGTACTGTCCAAAGACATACCACCGAAAGGAGTTGGCAATGCTGGCTACCGTCACTCTGCTACCACTGAGGACGTACTAGTAGTTCCTCCATGGATACGTTGGCTCCTCAGGACCCCATTGACTGCTCTCGACATCGGTATGTCCTAGATCCAAGTGTACGTCTTGGCCTACAGTCTTGTTTGTAAGTATACTGGACCCCTCCTAAGCTATTCTCATGGAAGGGCTCTGATACTGACAATATGCCGGTCTTTTCCACTGAGCTTGTGCACTGGGTCCGGGAGGGAGAGAGTGGAGATAGGAGTCAAGATCAGAAGCATCTTCCGTCCTGGGGACAGCAGATTATCAATTCAAGGTCCCATTTTGCATAGGAACATCCTCTGTAGAGAGAAGCCTAGGGTTGTGTGAATACTTACAGAGGTAAGAAGAGCGCCGTTCCACGGCCAGTCAACACCCTCCTCTACCTTGACTCTGAACATCTATTAGTATTTCTGCAGAGTCAAGGGTAGGCATACTGTACTGTACATGTCGGCAGGAGTGGACAGGTTGTACACATGGGTGTCCGTACATATTGCAGTGAGTAACACAAAATTCAGGTATAGGACTCAAGCAAAGAAAAAAAAAAGTCCAGTTCAACCAAGGGGACAGTTCCTTAATAGCTAAGAGTCCCTCACACTGAGTGAGCCAGTCTCCTTTGAGTTATGTCCTGTAAGTCTGCACTACTCAGATGCTGAAGAAAAGCAATATTGTGTGAGACTAGAGTGGCTACAATCTAAAGAATCTCAGAGAGTGAGGCTTTGGTACACTCTATAAAGAGTCAGGAACCCTCCCAATGTGACAAGCCCCTGGGGAATGACCACTCAGGGGCGTACTTTGTCACCTAGATGGCCTTTCTCTAGGGAGCAGAAAGCACCGGAGGCTCTAGCACTGTGCAGCAAATGAGATGTTCTGATTTGTTTGTTTTGTTTTTTGTGACAGGGTTTCTCTGCAGTTTTGGAGCCCTTCCAGGAACTCGCTCTGTAGCCAGGCTGGCCTTGAACTCACAGAGATCCATCAGCAACTGCCTCCTGAGTGCTGGGATTAAACGCTTGTGCCACCACCGCTTGACCTGTTTGTGAGCAAACTTTTAAGTCTAAACCTGGGGTCATTTATCTCTGTCAATCCCCAAGACAGAGTAGAGGTGTGGCTGCTCCCGGAGGCTGAGGTTCAAGGCTCATCGGACTGAGACAGGTTCAAGGTCAGGGTTACACAGTTTCTTTTGGAACCCTCCTATAAGGTGACCTGGAGCATGACATAATCTTAGCTCTTCGTGAAAAAGTCAATATAGGGCCGGGTGGTGGCAGCACAGGCCTTTAATCCCAGCACTCGGGAGGCAGAGGCAGGAGGATCTCTGTGAGTTCCAGGTCAGCCTGGTCTACAAGAGCTGGTTCCAGGACAGGCTCCAAAGCTACAGAGAAAATGAAAAAGTCAATAGTTAGAACGGAAACAGGAAAGCAGGGGTGGAGGTCAGAAGAGAGGACCTGAGAAAGCCTGCGCGAAAGAAGCAAGAAAGATCAATTGTGCAAAGAGGCCACAAAACTACTACCCTGACCCGGCTCCTCATGTGACGCGGTGTCAGAGGTCAAGCAGCCTAAACTCTGACTCTGGCGAGGGGGGGAGGGGTCTCGCATCAGTTAGCTGAATGCCTCGCTCTCAGCCCCGCCCCTCCCGGTCTTACTCAGACCTACAGGCTCCGCTCCCCGCCGGCGCGTGACGTCACAACGTCATGCGTGACGACGCAAGGACGGCCCCGCGGCGTGGCGTCGGAGGCGGAAGTGGCGCGGCCGTCGCTCTCGGGCGCTCACTGCCGGCTCCGGGTGTTGTGAGGAGCCGTCCGCCAGCCGCCGCGTCTCCTCCTCTCGCCGCCCCTCCATGTGCCCGGGTGCCGCCGTTTCGCCTCGGGCCGCCGCTCACCCCGGGGTCTATGGAAGTGATGGAAGGACCTCTCAACCTTGTGAGTAGTGGCGGGACTGAGGGGGAACGCGCGGCTATGGGGGGACGGTCAAGGATGAGGGGGAACGCGGGCTGAGGGACAACCCGGATTGACGGGGGAAACCGCGAGCGGAGGGGAACCTCGACCCCCGGTACTCAGGCCACTCCCTCGGGGCCCGTCGCTTCTGCCCTGCTGGGACCGCGTCCCAGCGCCACGTAGCCTCCTGCAGGCCGCGGGCAAAGTCGGGGTGTCCGGGCCGCACCTCTCACACCCCCCAGGCTGCCCTCACAGCTGCGCCAGCGGCGGCTCCTTGGAGACAGCTGGGCACGAACCGCAGCCCCCTCCCCGCATCCCAGTTCCATTACTTTAGTCCTCTCGAAAGTACCAGAGACATTCGCACAAGAAGCCCAATCAGTTTTAGTCAAAAAAGGGGGAGTGGGGACTCAGTTCCCACAAAACCCCTAACCTCCCACAGAGTTTTTTGGTTTTGGAAGTTTGTATTTTTCCCAGAGTGATCACAAGGCGTCTTTGGGTTTCATGGCAAAGGTTCACGTAATTTCGCTGCAGACGTCTGATTTCTCGGCTTTGCAGACTGCGACTTTGAAGTCCCGAGTCTGTAGGTGGTTTGTGATGTGGTGGGATTGGGAACAGGACCGGGGAGGATTGAGTTCTGCCTTTGGAACCCAGCCCTGCTGACTTGGAAGAGCCCATGCTGGGCAGAGAAGCCAGAACCTGTGGTTTGAGAGTATAGATTTCTGGAGCCAAAAATCTGCTCGGATTTGAACTCTGGCTTAGTCACCTAATAGCTTCGGGATCTGGAGCAAAAATTTTCACCTCGTTTTCTTTTTCAGGTTCCTTGTGAGGATTAAAGGAGTAAACAGATAAAGGGCACGGAGAACCGTGCTTTATAGCTAGAACGTTCGAGGATTTAGCCGCTGTTATAATGAGACCATAAGCCCTTGACATTTTCCCTTAATGAGATTTATTTGGACTGGTTGAGCTTGAACGCCCAAGAGTGGTCACCTCGCTGGAGCCAGGTTAGCAGCTCGGAGAATCCTATCCCAGGGTTACTAAAGTTAGGCCCTGCCTCCATTCCTCAGCTGTTTACACTTAAGGATGACCACACCGGTGAGTTTTTGAAAGCCAGGGAAATCCCTTGCCCCTCTCTGGTTTTTAAGAGAACTCGCGAGGTCAATATAAGTTTACAGTGAAGCGTGGATGGCTCAATCCCGAAAGTCCGCAGGAGTATTATGAGTGGTAGCCAGCTGTTTACAGAGTGCTTCAAAGTTCAAGTGTCCTTGCAGAACCATCACTGGTTCTGTTCCAGGTAGCTTCACTTTATTTGGCAACAGGGTGTAGCGTGACTCCAGCTCCACTGGTGTGTTGTGCTTGGGAGAAGACTGAACCTGGCTTTCAGTGGTAGGTGGAGCACCAGGTGCTCAGTCTAGGAAAAATTAGGTAAACGATGGCAACAGAACTTTTGTTTATCTCCTGTTTGTTTGAGCCATGCCAGCTTCGCTGTTCCTCTGTTTCCTAGGCTGGTCTTAGGCACTGGTCATCCTGCTTCTGCTTTCTAAATCCTGGGCTTCCAGGCCTGTGCCTCCATGCCCTGGTAAGTTTTTAAGTAGGTGAATTAGGAGGCTCGTACAGTTTCATTTTCTCTGGTGTAACATTTATGTGACAAGCTTCAGAAATGTGGCAGCTTGAATTTTTAAGCCTTTTGAGATTTTGAAGATTGCTGACTTCCAGCCTAGCTCTTTACTCGATAACGGCTGGACTTTAACTTGAAAGAAGCGTGTGGCAAAGTAGCAGTGGTAAACCTCAGTCAGAGCTGTAGAAGAGTCGGGTTTATGTATGTGTGTGTTTCACATGTGTGAAATCAGGACACATATGGGAGTGTCAGTTCTCCATGGGCTTGGAGAGTGAATTTATGTAACCAGGTTGGTGGTGAGTGTCTATCCCCTGAGCCCTAGACTTAAAGTTTTTTGAAGATGCTCTCTTTTGAGAGGGTAGGGTATCAGTGAATACACCACGGTATCTTCTTTACTCAACTTTAAAGGTAGCTCTAGGGCCTAGAGAGATGGCTCTTCCAAAGGTCCTGAGTTCAATTCCCAGCAACCACACGGTGGCTCACAACCATCTGTAATGAGATCTGGTGTCCTCTTCTGGCCTGCAGGCATGCATGCATGCAGACAGAATATTTTATACATAATAAAAACAAATATTTAAAAAGTCTAAATCTGACTTAATGCGTATCTTTGAAAATTCTAGTAAACTACAAATTTATCACTGGAGTGTACTCCAGATTCATAATATAATAAGGGCTTCACTACTGTACGTGGATTATGTGTCCTCAGAGCATCCTTGGAATTCAGTAAGACCTGTTTGGGAGATTTGCTGATGAACAAGCCTAAGTTGAGGGAAGTTAAATAATAGCTTAGGTCAGTGACTTAATTGCATTTTGCATTTCAACTCACTATGACCTGCTCCTAAGAAGGCTTCCTATTAGTGTACTTTTCATTTTCCTTGAGCTCTGTGTCACTACTGCCTCTCCTGTGGAGTATTATTGTTAGCGTTATAGCAAGATTAATTTCCTCACAGTGAGTTTTCAGGACATGGAAGAGACTAGTTTAAATTATTAATTATTATTATTATTATTTTGGGGGGGTATTCAAGGCAGGGTTTCTCTGTGGCTTTGGGACCTGTCCTGGAACTAGCTCTTGTATACCAGGTTGGCCTTGAACTCACAGAGATCTGCCTGCCTTTGCTTCTGCCTCCCACGTGTTGGTATTAAAGCTGTGCCCCACCACCGCCTGGCTAAATTATTACAATATTTTAATATGTAACTATGACAGATGTGCTAGCTCTCTGATTTTTAGAGTTGGTCAGGAGAAGTTTTATGTCCTTTGAATGAAAAAGTCTTTCAATTCTGGATCAATTTGTCCTATCAAGTGTTTTCCTTTGTGTTATTTGCCTGTTTGAGGAAGGGTCGATAAGACCAGGCCACAGTGTGTATAATTCAGGCTAGCTTTAACCTTTTGATCCTCCTGCCTCAGTTTCCTGAGTGCTGTGGTGACAAGCCTGCACCACCACACAGCTTGTTAACTTTAAATATGGGAAAATTGTAACTTACCAAATCACTTAGTGTGTATTAGGTATTTCTTTCCATGCATTAAATTCTGGCATTTGGCTGGTAACAAATGACTGGCCAAACTTCCTTGATCATTTCTAGTGCTGCAGTGTGGGCAGTGACGTCAGTCTTAGTGTCCATGACTTTTGTTTATGTTTTACTTGCTTATGCTGCTGCAGGCAATACCCATGAGACTACACAGCCACACTTGCTTTGTTGTTGTTTTGCTTTTTATGTGTTCATCCTTCAATCACCCCAGTTTTCTCTCTGTTTATTCTTAAGAGGGCTGGGTGTAGCTGGGCGGTGGTGGTGCATGCCTTTAATCCCAGCAGAGGCAAGTATCTCTGTGAGTTCCAGGCCAGCCTGGTCTACAAGAGCTAGTTCCAAAGCTACAGAGAAACCCTGTCTCAAAAAAAAAAAAAAAAAACCAAACAAACAAAAAAGAGTGCTGGGAGTGTTGGTTAAATAACCGAGCTTCCTTCTGGAGTGTTTAGTTCTTAACCACTGCCTGAAGTGGTTAATGCTTTCAGGCATCTCATACAAGAAAAAGAGTCATATCATGGGCTAAAGAGCAACTGTCTTTTATGTAGCTGAAGTCTTTGTAACTGTTTCAAACTAGTGATATTAGAATTAAAATCTTTAAAGAAAAAAGAGGCTATTTCAATCCCCTTTGTGTTGCTCTAAAAATAACCTATGGAAAATAATCCTATGCCATAGGTATAGTTGGAATTACTTGGGAGCACTCTGGGTGAGGAACATGTGCTGAGTTTATACCCAACAATTAGTAAATGGTAGGGCATCATTGTGTCTCTTATTTATCTTGTCTTAATATCTAGATGAGCTATTCTGCCAGGTTCATAGATTATAACATTAAATGCAGAATTTGTTGAGATAGTGGGGTTTGAAAGCTAGAATTTAAAATAAATCATTGAGCTTTGTATTGGAGCATTATTTACCCATCTGCTTTAACTGATCTGCATGAGAAATACTTACAGATTGGTAAGTCAGTTTTGGGCATAGTACTGCCAAGCTGCTGTGTCATGGAATATATCTTGTTTCTGCAGAAACATGAGCCTTTCTCATTTTACACAAAATAAAGCCAAACTATAACTTTTTACTGAATATGAGATGCTGTAATAGTAACTGTTTTTTGTATGTGTGTTAGTGCTTTGCCTTCATGTCTATTTGTGCACCACATGTGTTTGGTGCTCCTTGGGCTAGAAGAGGTCATTGGGGCCCCAGTAAGTGGAGTTTCACACTTTAGTGAGTCACCATCTGGGTGTTGGGAATCAAACTTACTAGGTCCTCTGAAAGAGCAGCCTGTGCTCCTACTGCTTAGCCATCTCTTTAGCCTATGGATTTTTTTCTTAATACTACCAGAATTCACCACATTGTTTTCATGTGTGAATCCTATACTAGATTTTCGCTGTCTACATAGCAGGTGATGACAGTTTTGGAAAAACAAGAACAAGCCCAACTAGAAACTGATGGACATAAAAAGTTTATAGACAAAATAGCACAGGAGAGAGGTGGTCTTCAGAGTTGAAATGAGGTCCTCAAGTTCATTGGAGCAGTTAGTTACCTTCAGTTGAACTGTTCTGTTGATTATACAGTTGACTGGGTACACATGCATGGAGGTACTGCTTCACACTTGTGTAGTGAACTGAGACAGGGGCATAAGGCTAATATTTCTCCTTTGTTCCCAGTTGAATGCCATACCAGTCAGGAATATAGTGTATATCCTCTGCCTTCTTTCTAATATTTGGAATGGTGTCTTTTTTTTCCTCTCGATATAGCATTTCCTTCAGGTCAGAACTTAGTAAATTGAAAGATACAGAAGATACTGTTATTTATAATTTTGGAGGTGTTTTGTTTTGAGACAAGATTTCTCTGTCCTGGAACTAGCTGTGTAGACAAGGCTGGCCTCCAGTTGACAGAGCTCTGCCTCTCTCTGCCTTCTGAATGCTAGTACTACAGGCAAGCACCACACCATGCTGAGAAAGGTGGCCTTGCACTTGCAATTTTAAAGCAGCCGGCAAAAGGAAAAAGTCCTTGAGCGTAAATTCATTCACTTAGTAGCCTAATTGTAGTTGCTAGGATGTTTGTTGGTTTTAGCTAATGGGAACTCACTTCTATTAGCTTAAGGCCAAAGAGATATTACCCAAAGAAGGAGCAGGAAGACCAGTGTACAGTGTCTGTAGAGGGAGGCTTCTTGTTTGTTCCCAGCTGCCCAGACCATGAAATAATAACTCAAACTATATCATTTGAATCCCTTCTTGTCCAATCACTTAAGTATATTGCTAGTAAATTAACCCATTCTGTTAATCTGTACACCACCACATGGCTGTGGCTTACTGGATAAAGTTCCATCTGGCGTCTGTCTCTGGTGGAGCTACATGGCTTCTCCTGAGCCCCCACCTTCTTTCTCCCAGAATTCAGTTTAGTCCTCTCCCCCCCAGCTCTATTCTACCCTATTACAGGCAAAGGCAGCTTCTTTATTCATTAACAATAAAAACAACACATATACAGAAAGACTTCCCACACCATTTCCCCTTTTCTGTTTAAATAAAAAGGAAGGATTTAATAAAAGCAACACACAAATAAATAAATAAGAAGGATAAAAAGGATAAAAATAAAAAGGAAGGATTTAATAAAAGCAAACCACAGTGTCTGAGAGCCTTTGCAGATTGGAACTCAGGAGTGGGATTTCCGTGATGGGATTTGGGCTATTTCCCTTCCTTCATGCCTTTGTTTCTGCCTGTCCACTCTCAATGCCCTGTAGTTAAAACCACTTCCAAGTTTTATTGTTGTACTTGCTTTCTGATCCCAGGTTTGAAAATTCAGGGTTTGGGATTCTTTTTAAGTGTCCAGAAAGCCAGGCAATATAAGAATGCAGCACCTGTCATAGGAATCAAAGTTATTGAGGAAAAGCAGTGTATAGAAAGGGGTAAACGTGTTTTGATTTTTCTGGTTTTTACTTTGAATTTACTTAAACAGATCAGTTTTAAGTGGGAATCCTAAAGATTCCTTTAAAAAATAACAATAACAATCAACATAGGTTTCTATAGTATTGTCTATCTTTTTATTACCATTTGTTTAGAGACAGGGTTTTATGCAACACAGACTGATATCAAGCTCATTATGTAGCTAGGGATGACCTTCATCCTTCACCACCTTCTAAGAACTAGGATTATAGGTGTGCACCACCATGCCTGACAGACGTGAAGCTGAGATGATGCCCTACATTACGATTGGCCTCTAACTTGTGATCCTGCTTCAGCCTCCTTAGGGTTGGGTATAGAGGTGTGAGCTGTCATCTGTGACATCTCAGATTGCACTTTGCCCCTTCTCCTCCTGACTTCCCTCCCTTCCTTCCTCCCTTCTTCCCTCCTTCCTTCCTTTCTTCCTTTGTGTGTGTGTGGTTTTTTTTGGGGGGGGCAAAGTTTCTCTATAGATCCCTGGCTGTCCAGAGTGGTCTCTAACTCAAGAGATCTGTCTGCCTCGCAAATGCTGGGATTAAAATTGTGTGCTCCTGGCTTGTCTTTGATTCTTTCTTAAAATGTGTCCAGGAGCCTCAGGCACAGCCTCAACTCAGATTTGCAGACCCTATTGCAAAACTACAGACTGAAAATCTGCATTTTACCCAGGTCTGCCTCAATGGTTTGAATTCTCTTTACAACTCCTAAAATAGTGACCTTGTTGAAATTTTATTGACAGTGATAAAATAGCCCCAGCAGAGTGGGACAATTGAGCTGGTTTAGAGTGAGCGAGCGTCAGAACTTGAAGAGACAGAGCCCTTGACTCTCGTGCTGCGCTGTCCTTGTTATGAAGGGCTATGGGCTTTCACAAAAGTTTTCTTTTGTGAGAGAAAAGGTGTGGGCTGTTTTTATATTTTTAGAGCTTACAAAAGGTGAAAGCACCTATATATGACCCCTTTGTTCACTTTTCTGTTTCTCTTACTGCCTAAGACCTTGTTGATTGATTACCACTGTTCATTCAGATGATCTGCCAGATTCCTTGTTGATACTGTCTTCTCAAAAGGTCTGCCTTTCACCTGAGGGTGGTGTCCATGCATACCCCTAGTTCATAGGAGGAGGTAGAGCAAGAGAAACAGGGCTTCAAGGCCAGACATGGGGTCCTATCTCAGAAATCTGCCCCATCCCACCCTAAATGTTTTATCTGGATACTAGAAAATATTTAGGTGTTCAGAACATACTTTTTACTCAGTCCAAGGCTCCATGGTTAAAATTAACATCCCCCCACCCCCGGTTTCGAGACAGGGTTTCTCTGTAGCTTTGGATCCCATCCTGGAATTAGTTCTTATAGTCTGCTGGCCTTGAACTCACAGAGATCTGCCTTCCTTTGCCTCCCAAGTGCTGGGATTAAAGGCGTGCACCACTACCGCCTGGCTAAAATGTTCTTTCTAATCTTAACATAAGTTACTGGCCTTGTTATGTAAGAGAAGGAAACAGGTTGACAAAGCTATAAGTGAAATAATGTGTATTCAAGTTCTTTTGTTCTTGCTGTTGGTGGTTTGTGATCCAACAACCTTGTAAGAGTCAGCCAGGTGCTCTATTCTGAGCTGTGTTTATCTCCAGCCTTTGGAGGATTTATTTATTTATTTATTTATTTTTATTTGTTTGATTGTTTACTGGCATTTTGGCAATTGAACTGAAAGCTTGTGCCTTGCCATACTGGACAGATGTTTTACCACTGACTACACCTTCTAGCCTTTGGTCTTTGACATGGTCTGTTGATCAGGCTAACCTGAGCTAGGAAATGGCTTGGCTCCTCCTCCTTCTCCTGAGAGCCAGCATTACAGGTATGTGACTCCATGGCTGGAGGCTTTGGGAAACTAAGAATCCATGTAAGAAGAGTGGCACTATTAGCTATATATCTTTACCGTAGGGACATCTAAACCCTTTGCTTTTTAGAACCTCTAACTTAGCCTTTCTCTTTTTGATGAATTGTATATGAAGAGATAGTAATATTAAATATATCAGAATCTCTCACTGAATATTTTTTAAAATTTTAAGGTAAGTAGTAATTTTAATTTTTAAAGGGAAGAATGAACAGCTATAAGAGAAGTTTGGATTTTTCATGATACATTTCCTGATTAAAGTCTATAAGAGTCTATTATAGTCTCTATTAAGACAATAGAGCCTTTTGAAAATACCTACCTACAACATGTTTCTTTGAAATATCTAGTTAAATATCTAGAAAGCATGCTCTGAGTAATACCTGGGATTGTAAGTCTTTTGTTACTCTGATCTGTGGAAGAATAGAGGTCACTTAGCAGTTAGAACCTGATAACTGAAGAGGATCATGGGTAGAGAGAAGTTGCCAGTTTTTATCAGATGATGTGGTTCTAAGCTTGACTTCTTGCATAGAATAGTTTGTTTAGAAGTCTTGTTTTGTAATTTGGAGTAACTCAGAATATTTGTTTTCTAGGCTCACCAACAGAGCCGACGTGCAGACCGTTTGTTAGCTGCTGGCAAATACGAAGAAGCGATTTCTTGTCACAAAAAAGCTACAGGTACATATTTTTCTTAAGAGATACTGGATAGAGCTGTTGGCAGATTGAGGTTGGAGTATTGCTATGAGTTGGAGGCCAGCTCAGACTACCAAGAGAAATCCTGTCACAAAACAAAAAGAACAAGAATACTTTGTTATTGGTGGTTGTCATTTAGCGATGACTAATAATTTGTGTGTAATATATATTATATTGTAGCAACTACTGCTAAATGTCATTTAGTTTACTGACTTTCTGGTGCTGGAGATGGAGCTTAGTGTAATTACACACTTGGCATGCGTTGGTTTCTTATCAGAGACCCAAATTTCTGAATTAGCCTTATAAATAGGTCTGAGGGCTCTGTTTTCCAAAGTTCGAGTTCCATCTAGAATGGGTGTCGCGTCTGTTTTAGAACAAGGTCTGCAGTCTTTCTGCTAGGAAGCGCTATTCCTTCCCTTCTCAAGAACAGAATTCTTTCCTGGCAGGGAATGGAATGTTAGAAATACAAAGTCACAGTGGGCACTGCTTTGAATAAATTTTCAGTACGTTCTTCCTATAAGTAATTATCAAGAGAAAAAAATATTTTTTGGTTCAGGATCTTGTTTATCTAACCCTTGATGGGCTAGTACTCATTCTATAGCCCCGGTTCCTTCCCAGACTTGAGCACTCATCCTGCCTCAGCCTCCACAAATCCTTGGATTACAGCTATGTGCCAGTCACACCCAGCTAAAAAAAAATAATTAGTTGTAGATAGCGAGTGGCTCACACCTGTAATCCTCACACTTTGGGTGAGAGGTGAGAACGTCACATTTGAGACCAACCACAATATATAGCCAGTCTCTTCCCTAAAAAAAAACACCAGCAAAAACCAGTTTTATCATAAGTGTGCCCATGTGTCTGCTGTAGATCTTGTGTACATAACTAGGTACTCATAATAGTATTTTTATGACTGGTGCAGTTTTCTACAACACGAAACTAGTGGTCTTTAAATCTCTCCTCAACCATGTTATTGACCAGATTGTTGATTTGTACTAACTCCTGTGTGAGAGAGTACACCATGTTTAAGAAAACCATGATGTAGATGAGAGCCCTGGTGCATTGACCATAGTGATTTAGGTTTCCTGTGTATGCCATAGGTTAAGGTGGAGCGAATCACCATATGGTATGTGTACACTAAGTGCACGATAGTCTGAAGAACATGAAAGAGAAAAAAATCACCCCTAAGTGTAGAGAGCTGCGTGATGCCATGCCTTACAGGTGGCACTGATTCCCGCCTTCCACCTTTCCAACGGTAAATGCTCTCAGATGTGTAACAACTCCATATATGGCTAATGCTAAGATCTGGCTTGCTTCCGCATCCACGTGGCTTGCTGGGGTTGGCTACCCAGAGGTTATTTAAGCTGCAGACTGGTTTTTCCCCCGGGGCGAGAGGTTGTGAGAGGTAGCGAAAGGATGAGAAGATTATTTTAAGGGCCTGAATAAACCGCAGTTAAGAAGAGTCTGGTGTTGCATCTTCATTACTGATAAGGCTGACGTGACACCTAAGGTCTTTTGTCTTTGAAGACTTAAACAGCTATGTGACACTAGGCAGTGTAGCTCAGTGGTAGAGAAGTTGTAAAGAAGTAGGTTGGGGGTGTTAATCTTTCCTGAACATCTACTTTAAATATTAGCCTTACATTATAATTGGAAGAAGTAATTGCCAGTATTAAGATTTTTCTGAGCACAATAGGACCAATAGACATACGAATTCACAGAGCATGCATAAAACCTGTAGGGATTCAGACCAGAAAATCCCAGGACTGAGAAAGGTTAGTGAGCAAGTCTCACCCCTAACCAAGAAGCTAATTGCAGCTGATACCTGCTGGAGAAGGGAATATGTTTTCTCCAGTGGAGAGTCAAATTTAAGTTTTAAAAAAAGGGTTTTTTTTTTGTTTTGTTTTGTTTTTTTGAGATCGTCCTTTCATAAATTTCAGTTTTAGGAGATTATCACAGTGAGATCATGGAGAAAATCACCATGCCGTGCACTCAATTTTTCTTTTTTAAATTTCAAAATGATACTTCTTTATGTGTAAGGCTGGGATTAAAGGCATGCACTGCCTGGATTGGTTTCTATGGCAACTAGTGTGGCTACTGGGGTTAAAGGTGTGTGTTACCAGCACCTGGTTTGTAAGGCTGATCAGTGAGGCTGTTTTACTCTGACCTTCAGGCAAGTTTTATTTATTAAAATACAAATGAAATGCCACTACAGCTAGGTCCTCAACCTGCCAACTTTAGAAGTTTAAAGCCTCCAGTTTTTAAGATGGGCTAGGGAATACGTATTTACTAGTGACATTCTTTTAGAAGAAGTTAATGCTGTTTTCAAATTTTGCCTTTTTAGCACAATTGCTTAGAAGACCAAGTAATTGTCTCTGGGGGTAAATACTTCGATTATTAGCCCATAAGTTACAAAATAATGATGTGCATATATTAATTTGCTGCTTTTTTTTTTTTTTTAAACCAGCTTATCTCTCTGAAGCCATGAAGTTGACACAGTCTGAGCAGGTGAGACTTGCTAGTAGTATTTACAGAAATGTTTGAGGGGCTGGAGAGATGACTTAGCAGTTAAGAGAGGAGAGGCCCAGTATGGTTCCCAGTACTTGTGCCAGGCAGCATACACCTTCAGTGCAAAGGGATCTGGTGCCCTCTTCTGGCCTCCATTGGCACTGTGCTCACATGTACTGCTTCCTCCATTATCAAAACAAGCAAACAAAAAGTCTTTTATTATTTGTTTAGATCAGGGACTCGCTATATAGTCCTTTCTGGCCTGGAACACACTATGTAGAGCAGGATAGCCTTGGAATCCAAGATGCATCCAGCTGTCTCCCCAGTGTCACACACTAAAGGTGTGTGCTACCATGTCCAGCTGAAAAAGAAAATCTTTTTAGAAAAAGGTTTTCTTGTGGAGATTTGAATTGGGTAAAACCTGAAGTTTTATGTCTTTCTCAAAACACTAAAAAAAATATAGATGTATTTTAGGAAAGAAATTAAAACTATGTCATCTGCCATTAGCCTTCCAGCCTTGCCTTCTGTTTCCTGTTGTTGCTTACAGGTCTCATGCTCCACTGGCTTTTGATACTGGCTGACATTGAGGAAGCAGGAATGGCCCAGGGGAACTAGATGGACAATGCTTTGCTTGTCAAAGGCAGTTTAAATCTGAATAATCTCCTTCTTTGATACTTAGATGATTTCTGGACTTTGAGATCTGTTTCAGGATGACTTCATATTGTCTTAATATGTTTAGGGAAAGCCGGTGCTTAAGCTTAAAATTTTAATACTTAAAATGTCTTAAAAATACCTTCATTCTGGGGCTGGAGAGGTTAAAAGCACTGAGTGCTCTTCTAGAGGACATGAGTTTGGTTCTCATCACCCACATACCAGTTTGTAGTTAGCAGAGGAAGCTCAGGTTATTTACTTGGGCACAGCCATGACAAAGACCGTAGTTTCAAAGCCATGGGAAGTTGGCAAAACCTTTTCCCATGTGCGTCCATCTCAGAATTGGCAAAGCCTTCTTGGTTCAAGTTTGAATGCTGATATGTGTAAAAACTAGCTGCTGCTGCTTTGTGCTCCCAGTTAGTTACAGCTTGAGACCACGTTTCCGCCTCCAGAGACCAGTAGCCCCGTCCCTGTGCTGTACATGGTAAACAAACACTCTGACATCCAGTTGATAGTTGGTATGGCCCCATCATTTTTTCTGGACTTGTGCCTGTGTCTGTCCTTTCTTCATTGTCTTGCCACCCAAGTCAGGATTCCATGTGGGTCACGGCAGGGTCTCATAACATTCTGCGTCTCCAGTTCCAGGGGATCTTTTGCCTCTTCTAACCTTCCTGTACATATACTCATGTACATACACAAAATATTGTTTAGAAAATCCTGATCCAAGGTTTTTCCCTCTTTTCAGTGGTTTAGGTTCAAGCCTAGGTCTTTGTACATGCTAGTGAACATCATTCCACTGAGCTACACCCCAAGCTGTAAAGACAATGTCTTGATTTATAATGATGGGTACCTAAGGGGTTGGTGACTGAACTAAGGACAGTTCCTGTAAGCTGTGGCATTGGCAAAGTAAAAATGCTTAACTCAGATTGAATTGAACCAGCTCACAGCTGATAGTGTAGAGCTTGTGGTAGCTGTCATATGGTGTGCATCAGCTTTCCAAATACCCTGAGCATTGGAAGATCACAGATGAAGGGGATACAGTCCATCATCGTAGGGAAGCATGACACTTGGAACTCAGTTTACAGTGACAGCCCAAGGCATGGCTTGTTAATCTCTCTGGATCAGGAAGCAGAAAACTGGCTATGAACCTCAAGGCATGGGCAAGCCACTTATAGACCACACTTCCTAAAGATTGCACAGCCAGTCAAGCAGGTGTTCAGGCACATAAGCCTGGGAGCTTTCTGATGTTAAGTTCTTTACACTGACCTTTTCCTCCATGTCACAGGCTCACCTATCACTGGAACTGCAACGGGACAGCCACATGAAACAGCTTCTCCTCATCCAGGAGAGGTGGAAGAGAGCAAAGCGCGAGGAGCGGTTGAAAGCACAGCAGAGCACGGACAGGGACGGAACCCCCCACCTGCAGGCATCTCACAAGCCCTCTGAGGACATGGAGGGTCAGAACCCTCTTCTTTCTCAGACGTACATCCCTTCCACAGAGAAGCGCCTCCCCGAGCTTCAGGGGGTCTTTGACAGGGATCCAGACACATTGCTATATTTACTTCAGCAAAAGAATGAACCAACAGAGCCATGTATTGGAAGCAAAGCCCCAAAAGATGATAAAACAATAATAGAGGAGCAGGCAACCAAAATTGCAGATTTGAAGAGGCATGTGGAGTTCCTCGTGGCTGAGAATGAAAGATTAAGGAAAGAAAATAAACAACTAAAGGCTGAGAAGGCCAGACTCCTGAAAGGACCAACGGAGAAGGAGCTGGACGTTGATGCCGACTTTGTAGAAAAGTCAGAGCTGTGGAGCTTGCCACCGCACTCGGACACTGCCACAGCCTCTTCAACGTGGCAGAAGTTTGCTGCGAATACTGGGAAAGGCAAGGACATTCCAATACCCAATCTTCCTCCTCTGGATTTTCCCTCTCCAGAACTTCCTATTATGGAGCTCTCTGAGGACATTCTGAAAGGATTCATGAATGATTAAAATGGAAGGCCATTGGAGAGGCTGGTGACAGTTAATCCAGAAAAGAATACAAAGGGAAAGCCACGCCCCAGGGGAATCCCAGAAATGCTCCTTCATCTGGTATACTGTGGGAGAAGAGGCGGTGCCAGGACCTGGGAAAGTCACTGTGAAACATCACTTATCTTACGACTAAAGCTCGTGATTCCGATTTGGCAGACACTGAACTCTGGATGGAGGTTCGCTTTCTTATGATACAAACCAAATGGCTACCTGGAATAATTTTTCAGTTATTTTTCTTATCTTCAGGGTTAAATGTATAAAAGTATGTCATGTGTAATTAATCTATAATGCCATAAATGATAATGCAAAAGCTAAATATGGTGGCCTGAGAGGCTCACTTGTATTTGGAACATGCTTTCTATCATGCATTGACTGTATGCATTTTATGCACATTTTGTTTGTTGAGATACGGTGTGTAAGATACACCCTTCCAGATGGAACTGTATGTGCCACAGTTTGCACTACTCGTAACATAATGATAACCTCAAGATTATCAGGAGAAATATTTAAATTTCCATTTTATGAAGAAAGGAACCAAATTATTAGTTATGCTTTTTTTTAAAAAAATTACCAGTTTACATAATTAATCAGGGTGCATTTTAAGTTCTAACTTTGTGTTATATGATGCATCATTTGAAAATACTGAGGAACTCTTCCTTTGTTCTGAATGATGCATGTGTGAAAGTAATGCTAGTTAGCAGTATTTGATTGTAAGAAATCAATAAAGTAATTGTGTTTCATACCCTTGTTGAATATGGCTGGTGGTTAACAAACATGGCGCTCAGTGGCTTCTCCCTGTGTTCCCACCTTTTCTCTACATGAGGCCCTGCTATGAAGTAAGCAGTCCATGGTGGTCTCAGACTTGTGATCTCGCCCTCCTTTTTACAGTGAGCTATATAGGCTGGGGTGTAGTTCAGTGTCAGGTGTACAAGGTGAGCCTTTCCCACCACTTCTGCTCCTTGGGCTCTTCCTTCCCATCACTCTTATCAGTTTGCCATTTTCTTAGATCTTTTTCTATCTTTTGTTGATGCTTGTGTACACTGCTCAGCGCTCTTGCGTAGCCTGGTGCTTCACGTCTGTGTGTTGTGTCACCATGCTCAACTCAGTGTGTTAGATAGGTATGCCACTCTTACATCCCTCAGTACCTCTTGAGTTTCGTTTTTATAAAATGGGTTTGGTTTACCTGACCTGTTGTAGCAGAGTAATCCAAACTGCTGAAGGACTAACCTCCAGTTGGCAAGCAGAAGTCAAACCTTGGGTCTTGTGTTTTGGCCCACGGTGCACACTCAGTTGTGCGATCCAGCACCACATACAGGTACGCATAAGAACTGAAGGAGCTGAAGGACATCTATTGGCTAGTCTCTGCCAAAAACTACCAGGTGAGAGGAGAACCCACACACTTGGTGTCTAACATAAAAAGTGGAAAAAAGTGAAGACGGGGAAAACCAGCTGGCCTTACTCAGATGTCTGCTGAAGGACACGGTGTTTTTCCAGGAAAGCGTCAAGTACACTGAAGCTGGGGCTCACCAGATCAGCTAGCTTGGCTGACCCTGAGCTCTAGAGCCCTTCCTGTTGGCTTCACTCTGGGAAGGAATCAGCACTGGGGTTCCAGACTGGTGGTAGGGTGAGGCATAGTGTGGGCTAGAGACTGTTCACTAAACCATTCTAGAGCAGTGGTTCTCAGAACAACCTCCCCGATGCTGTGACCATTTAATCCAGTTCCTCATGTTGTGGTGACCCCAGTCATAAAATTACTTCATAAGTGTTATCTTCCTACTGCTATGCTAATGTTATGAATTGTAATGTCTTAAGTGTCTGATAGGCAACCCCTAAAGGGGTCACGACCCACAGGTTGAGAACTACTGTTGTAGATGGTTGCAGTGAAAGATGATCACTCTGTCATAATCCTTCAGTGTAACTGGTGACCTCAGGAAGTGAGTCCTGTAATAGCAGTAGGGGTCATGCTTCAGGTCTTCCCTTTAGAAACCACCGGTGCCCAATAGTGCCATCTGGTGGACAGTGACAAACTAGTTTTGTGTCTTCCAGCATGCAAAGGGTCTGAGACCTTGGCAGTCTTGGGGTAGGACAGAACGCCAGGTATGCTAGGCGAGCCCTCTGCCACTAACTTTACCCCTCCCCCCCCCCAGTCTTGCTTGCCTAGTCTAGTATGGATAAGTTTAAGAACGAAATGAGGGCTGGTGAGTTGGCTCAGCGAGTAAAGTCCCAGACTGACAAATACATTGTTCCTCAGTACCCAAAAGATAGAACAAATTTGTACAAATTGTCCTCTGACCACACACACACACAAACATGTATAATAATTTAAAAAAGAAATGATGGTGAGGCACCATTAGGAACCGGGGGTTCATCCCCTTTGACTTTTGTTTATGTACATGGGGATTTTGCCTGCATATGTCTGCACCATTTGCCTGGTGCCCATGGAAGCCAGAAGAGGATGTTGAATCCCCTGGAACTGGAGTTAGGTTGTGAACTACTGTGTGCGTGCTGGTAAGTAAAGGCAGGATCTTCTGGGAGAAAAACCAGCACTACTGGGCTGAGCTCCTGGAGCTTTAGTTGAAGAAAGGGAGGGGTCACATGAGCAAGACGGGAGGTCAGGTTATGGTTGGGGAAAAAACGACAGAAACAGCTGACTTGAGCTAGTGGGAGCTCCAGACTCAGGACTGACAGCTGGGAATCTGAGAGGGACTTTACTAAGCCTTCTGAATGTAAGTGACAGTTGTGTGGCTTGATCTGTTGAAGGTGGGGAATGGTTGGCAGCGGGGCTAGGACTTATCCTGGGTGCATGAACTGGCCTTTTGGAGCCCATTCCCTCTGGTGGAATACCTTGCTCAGCCCTAATACAGGGGGGAGGGGTTTGTTCCTGCCTTTACTTGGTATGCCAGACCTTGTTCACTCACCAATGGGGGCCTCACCTCTGAGGAGTGGATTGGGGGGGGGGGCGGGCAGGAGAGGGAACTGGGACTAGTATGTAATTTAAAACAAAACAAAACAAAAACGAAAAACCAGTGCTTTAAAGATTGGGTCTCCTATCTTTCTGGCCATTGACCTGGACCTATTTTGAAGGGGAAGGGGGCCTGAGCCAGGGTTTCTTTGTAGTCCTGGCTGTCCTAGAACTCACTCTAGACCAGGTGGGCCTCAACTTGGATGTCTGCCTCTTCCTCAGGTAATGAGACTAAAGGTGTGTGCTATCAATTCCTGGCAACCTGAACTTTGAAGTTTTGCTGCCTCAATTGAATCTCAAGGTACCTGTGGGATCAAGTGTGTTTGTGTATGTGACCTTTCGTTAAAAAACAAGGTCCAACATGGCAGTAGTGGCGTATGCCTTTAATCCCAGCACTCAGGAGGCAGAGGCAGGTAGATCTCTGTGAGTTCGAGGCCAGCCTGGTCTACAAGAACTAGTTCCAGGATAGACACCAAAGCTACACAGAGAAACCGTCTCAGAAAACACACACACACCACCACCAACAACAAAACACCAAGGTCCAGGGACAGCAAGGTGGTTCAGTGGGTAAGGGTGCTTGCTGCCACACCTCATGATTCTAGTTTGGTATCTAACTCATGGTGGAAGGAGAAAACCAACTCCCACCACTTGGCCTCTGACTTCCACCCCTGAGGACTGGACAAAGGAAGTGGTATGAAACTTATCCTAAGAAGCAGCTTCGTTCGACCTTCCCCACACAGAGGCCATGGGGCGGGGTGTAGCTGCCTTTGGCCCCAGGACTGAGCTCTTAGGAAGACAAAACACACATAAAGGATGCATCTAGGACGGCTTGTGAATGATGGCTTTGTTTTTTGTGGTGTGGGAGTCACCACACAACTGAGATCTGACTGAACAGCTGATGTCAGCTGTGAAAACCTCCCTAGCCAAGATTGGAAATTCAACTTTCAATGGACCTAGTGACTGGCAATTTTCATTTTGTTTAAATCCCCTAAGGGCATGAGATGAAGCCCAGTACACCTTGAGCTCCAACCCTAGTACCACATAAGCCTAGTATGGTGGTGGTTCAAGCCTACATCCCCAGCACTCACACCAGGGCCTAGAAGCAGTAAAATTACAAGCTCAGGGTCATTGTAGTCTGCACAGAAGTTTTGAGGCCAGTCTGGACTTAGGAGAGCCCAAGTACTCTGAATATTGTTTACTACGGCACTGTCATCTAATTGTATAAATCCATGTCTTAACTTTTGCAATTAGGTAATTTCTAAATCTTTAACGAGATGAGCGACACACATGGCTTAGTGTCCTATCTGGCTTGCTATAACCCAATGCATGGTGCAGAGAGGACTGGGTAACTACAGAACGGTAGCTAACTTGCCTTCCTTTCCCTTTCATAACTGGCTTGGCATATAGGACACACTCATCAAGTCAAATATTTAAGAGTGCTCCCCCACCCCAGATCTTAACTAGATAAATTTAAGCCTGTATTTCATGAGCCAGAAGACAGCATACTGACAAAAGGGTGCTGCAATCTCAGAATACATGGCGGCGGAGAAAGTGACATGTACATTTGTTAGTCAGCACCCGTGCTGAAGTCTAAGGGTAACAAACCATAAGTATGTGATCACTTTTATAAAAGCCTTGATGTTTTCTCTTTTAAAGATACTTGTGTGGTGAGGGTATACGCACACGTGCACATACCTGTGTTTGCCAAGGCCAACTGTCTCTGATACTCCTTTGAGGCAGGGTTGCTACCTGAACATGGAACATATTTATTTTTAAGATTTCTTTTTCTTTTTTGTGTATGTGTAAGTGCAGGTACAGCATCCAGAAGAAACTGTAAAATCCCCTGGAGCTAGAGTTATAGCTGGTTGTGAGCCATCTATGGGAACTGAATTTGGATCCTCTGTAAAAGCAGTATGTGCTCTTAACCTTTGAGCCATTTCCCCAGTTCCCGGAGACTAGCAACCTAATGTGATCCTGTCTTCAACTGCTAGGAGGCTTTATTTGTAGGGATACCTCACCATGATACCCACGGTGCTGGGATGAGCTCAGTTTCCATGATTACAGAGCAGGGTTTTTCTTAACTGCTAATCTAGGTCTCCAGTTTGTATAGTTAGAAAATTCTTACAATCACTTTACATAGGAAATGGACACAGGAAGATATCTATGAGGAACAGAGCCAACCAAAAGGATAGAGTTGAAATGTGGTATTACTGCTTGAGATGCTAGGGAGATAGTTCTGTTCGTCAAGCTGCTAGGCAAGCACGAGGACCTGAGGGCACTAAACATAAATCTCACTCATAAAAGCTAAGTGGCGGTGCAGTGCTGGGAGACAGAGATGAAGATGGACCCTTGAGGCTTCCTGGTCAGCCATGCTTGCCCAAAATGTCACAACCAGGTCTCAGAAAACGTATCTGATTGGAAAAAAAGGGGGGGGGGGACAAAAACTCATGGAATTGAGACACACTTGAGAAAATGATATTAAGTATAAAGCTCACGTGTAAAATAGTCTTCAGTACATTTTCCTCCTAACCTCCATCTCACTGGTGCCAGATGCTGTGTGAGAATGCTCTTGTACACAGTAAAGATTTGTCACTTGTATTGGTTTAATAAAACACTGATTGGCCAGTAGGCAGACAGGAAGTATAGGCGGGGCTACCAGACTAGGAGAATTCTGGGGAGAGGAAAGGCAGAGAGTCAATTTATCAGCCAGATGGAGAGGAAACAAGATGAGAATGCCTTACTGAGAAAAGGCACCAAGTGACGTGACTAAATAGGTAAGA